CTCTGTGTGTGTGTAAGAAGCTCACTCTGTGGATAACTTTACTTTTAATTTATTTCTTCATACATTCATTTATTTGAGAGAGAGAGATAGAGTACCCATCAGCTGATTCACTTCCCCAACACCTACAAGAGCCCCGGACTCCTGGGCTTCAGCCATGTGTCCAGAAGTCAATCCAGGTCTCCCACATGGGTGGCAGGATCTCAATTAGTTGAGTCATCACTATTGCCTCTCAGGATCTGCAGTAGTAGGAAGCTGGAGTCAGGAGTTGGGTAAAAAAAAAAGGCATTCTGATATGAAAAAATGATATTTTAACCACTAGGCTCAATGCTCACCTCCTTTGGATAACTTTCAAAATCAACTATAAACTTGCCAGTTCAGGATTCTCAAAGCAGGAGGATGTCTATCCTGATTTAAGTCCCTTTCAGATGTTAATACTGACCTCTTTTTTCAGGGAGATACTATGGAGATGTAGGTGCCCAAGTGATTCCTCAAGAATTCGTCCCTAATTTATCCACTAACAAGCACTTTCTGAACTTTATACTCATTCAGAACTCAAAAATCAGTTCCTATTACATTTGTTAATTCATTCTGCAAAGCTGTGTTGGGTGCTTGTGAGGTACATGGGAGGTATTAGGGCATAGAGTTGAAAGCTCAGACCTTGAGTTGACATAGACCTCCGCAGGACTGCTGGCTTGATCACCTACAGCCTTGTAATTCTGCCTCAGTTGCCTAACCTCTGCCACCATTGTGCTACTCATATTTAACGTGGGATAATAATAACTGTATCCTGGTACAAAGTTTAAATACTATTTTAAGGATTAAATAAAATAATGAATTTAAAGCAGTTAGTTCGTGAAATAATGGCCTAATCAATGTTAGTAAATGTTCATATTATATATTATTAATCCTATTATTACTGCCCTGTAATTGGCTTACCAAAAAGGAAATCAATGATATGTAATAAGCAGCTCATATCTTATAGGATGTCCTAGTCTCAAAAGAGACCATATGAGATACACATAATTACTAAATAACCCACCAGATAGCCATTATGTATCTCTGAGATCCACACATGTGAGCCTCACAGGTACAGCACCATGTCATGAGTAAGACTCCAAAGGCTCCTGAAGTAAACTGCTCCTGTTCAAACCCTGGTTCAGGTGTGTCACCTGAGGCTGGTTATTTGCAATGTGAAATGAAATAATAATAGTACTTGATAGCATCAATGTGAATTAAAGGATAGTGTCAATGATGGCATCAATGTAAATTAAGTAATAACCTGTAAAGTGCTTATGATGGCAATATTAGCAGTCAGGAGCAGGCATTTAGCCCAGCAGTTAAGTTGCCTGTACCCCATCAGCATACCTGGTTTCAGCTTCTGACTCTAACTCCTGACTGCATTTTCCTGCTAATTTAGACCTTAGATGGCAGTGGTGATGGCGCATGTAATTGGGTTCCTGCCACCTACATGGGAGACCCAGATTGGTTTTGAGAACCAGCAGAGGAGAGCTGGCTCTTGATTGTTTTTTCTCTCTCTCTAATAAGTACATTATTTTAAAAAATAACAAATATTAGCAATTATTACCTAGTTCTTTGTAGTAAGCTAAAAACCTAGCACCTGTGATGTGCAACAAATATTTGTTATTTGATTTGCTAGAAGTAGTTACATGAATATAATACTATAGACCAGTAACAGTTTCATTAATTTAAAATTGAACTGGAAGGAGGCATAGAGCGTAGACTAAAATGTGTATCCCTGTATAATACCCAATTTCTTCCATTTTCCTAGTAAGCAGAGGGAAGAAAACTGAGAACAGCATCTGTGGAAAGTACATAAGGTAATACACTAAACTAAATGTCATCCATTTACATTGGGTGTCACTACACCTGGGGAAGGTTAACATGAACTCAAACCTCCAAATTCCTGACTAGACTAAGTCCAGTGGTGGTCCTTGAGCATTCCAGATGCTAGGGTCCTTTACTCAGTGCAACCCAACTGTTTCCCTGTTTTTGACATGTTCGTCACCATGCCATGGGAAAAGTAAAAGGATGGGAGAATTCCATGGTCAAATAACTTTGGGAAACTTTGATTTAAAAAGTTAAACAAACTTCATTTTCAGGTGTATCAGATCCTTTTTGTGCATAAGTTGCTTGGAAATAATGGGATGCGTACCCAATGCCTCAATGTATGTGACCTTGAAACTCTTCTTATAAAAAAACTTATCAATATGTTATATTGCACATATGAAAGTTGGAAATATGCTGGTTTAATTGGAAGAGAATATGTCAATAGCAAAATAACAGGTAGTATGGAGGATTACATATTTGGAAAAGAGGGAAATTAGTATTTTGCACATCTTTGTAATGTTAGAAACCTAATCATCCATTTAAATATGCAAATTCTTGGCATAATGACATATTTTATCATCAAGATATTAAAGATAAAGAATTTAAAGATCCAAACAGTCACAAAGAAAGTAAGAGAAACAACCAGCGGCTTCCATAAATTAAAATATTGTGACCATCAAAACATTTGTGAACATACTGCCAAATGGAAGAAAGGAACTATCCGATGAGAGAGTAGTTACTCCAGAATACATTCATGCAACTCCATCTTTTCTTTTAATCACTCTATCCCCAAAATACCACAAACTAAAATCCACAGAAAGAGAAAAAAGGCTAGTTGTCATCTTACAAAGTACACAAAAATGTAAACTAATAAAAATTATGAAGTGCCATAGAAAATATTCTATATGTCCTTTTCACCTTTAAGACTGCAGTTTTTTTTACTGCAGTAAAAATGGGAAATTCCATAGCAGGACTGAAAAATGAGTCTATATTTCAATGGTTTTGGTTTTCCTTTGAATAGAGAACCATAAAATTAGGACAGGCAAAATTTTTAAACCACTTAAGTTAAAGGGAGGGCAGATGATTTTGGAATCTACAAAACTTCCCCCTGCTTTCTAGGCCCAATGGCACTCAGAAGAGAGATGATAGATAGACAGCTATGGATAATACACAAATGTATTATACAAGCATGTAGGTGTATGCTTGATATGTTTAGGTATGGGTAATTGGTAGTTATCATTAAATAATATTTGCTGGGGTAACCTAAGAGATTATAGACTTGATATTTGAAATGGTTTGATTATTGAATGTGTTGACACAGATGAATGATTTCCTGCAAGGTCACCACACCATCCCTTAGGAATAAGAATGCCCAAGGAAACATTGGTGACTCTGTATTGCAGGTGCTCTCCCTGAAAAAAACCTAAAAGCTCAGGTGTGCATGACCAAGAGCTATGAAGTCGCCAGGCTCTGCCCAGCGAACCGCTTCTGCAACGTCCAGGATCACTGGGTCAGTCAACGTTATTTTTCATAAGGAGCACTAATAATGTAATTTATGACTTTCAAAAGGTCACCTCTTGAAGGCAACGACGCTTACCTAATTGCCTGAAGGACTTTTTCCACACAGGTGCCTGGAAATCTTTTACTTATTACCATCCTGAACCATTTTAATCTTGTGCTTTGCTAAAGTACTTGGGAAAATGGACCAACGAAAGAGAGCTTTCAGTTTTCAGAGCACTTTCCCACACAGAACATTGTCTAAATTGATTCTCGAGTAACCTTCCTACGTGGGAATGACAGGTACTTGTATCACCGTTGTCAAAATGCACAGACTGGTACTCAGGTAGCTACAATGAAGCAGAGTTCCAGATTTCGAGCCCAGCACTCTAAATGTGACAATCTCGGAGACTCTGCGTGCGTTAACTATATAGCATAGGGAACTGTCACTAACTGCCCCTAAGCAAAATGTTGGGTTTTTTTGCTTATAGTTCACAGAGTGATTTTTCTGAGACAATTTATACCATGGCCACAATATACAAACGTCTAATAAAATCATGAGTTATCTACAGTATAATTTGGGAGGTTTGAGGGTATTTTTCCCCGTTTTCTTTTTTATTCCCCGTAAAATAGGCTGAAAACAGCGCCCCCTTGCTGCCCTTGGAAGCACGCCTTTCCTAGAGTTAAAACCACCTCTGGAGAGTCGGTATTTCTGCTGGGCTCTCATGGTCCAGATACACTGCATAGAAATTTGTTTTCTCCTTTGCTTCTGAGCTCCGATTCCCCGCCTTGGGAGTTCCTCTTTCTCACTTGCGAGCGCGGGAGCTTGGCGGGTTTTCGCTCCCGAGCCCTGGCCAGCGCTGCAAGGGTGGACGCTGTCCGCTGGAGGCGATTCCGCACATGCAATAGTAATCAGAAGTCTCTGCGGATTACTACAGCCCTGTTCTCAGGCTTCCCTGGAGAAAACCCCAGGAATCTAGCTTAGAGAAAACTCCCTAAAGTCCCAGGGCCCACAGGGAGACTGGAAAACCAGCAGCCGTCCCTTCTCCTCTCCGCTCATAGGCGCCTAGCAGCTGTGGGGGCCACAGCTGGATAAACGCGTGCGTCCTCCCCATCCGCGCACGTAAGCAGGGTGACCAGGAACAGGCTGGCAACTAAGTCACGCAGCCGTTACCTGCGGGGAAGGGCGGGGCGTTGAGGAGCGGGGAGAGAGGGATGCCTTGAGCCAGGCTGTCCTGAGGAACCGGCTGACCAGGGATGCACCTGCTGAGAAGAGAGAAACCGCAACCGACAGAGGTGCAGAGTGCCGAGTTCAGCAGCAGCTGTGCGGACCCGGGCTTTCCAGGTTTCGCGTTTACCGTGCCTGGGGAAGTCAAACGCGAGGTTAATGTGGTTAATGAGGGAGGCTTGAGGACGCGGTGGTGAGCGCAGCGAGGGCATGCACGCCCGGTTTTCCAAGTTTCTGGAAGAGAAGAGCGGCAAAGTGCCACGACCCTGACTCTGTCATCCCGGGATCAGCGAGTCTCCTGGTGCCACCTCTTGGTGATGCAAAGTGGACAAATCACCGACGTGGGGCGGGGGCGGGGGCCAGCTGCGGGGAGCGGGGAAGTGGACTCCGAGCCGTTTCCAGCCACTAGGGCGAGAGGCAGCGCCTCCCGGGAGGACGGATCCCGCACAAACAACTGAATTCGCAGCCTGGCGCTTTTGGGAGCCCGAAGGCGCACCTCCCTGGCTTTGCGGGAGTTGGAGCCGTGCGTGGAGGCAGCTCGCGGGACTGAGAGCTGCTCGGTCGGTGGGGCGCTGCGCACCGAGACGCGGAGCACCGAGCGCAGACCCCTGAGGACAGTGCGCTCGCGGCGGGGAGCCCAAGTGCCCAGGGGTGGGAAGGCGACAGCCCGCGCGAGCCGGGCCCTCTAAGGAGGGCCAAGGAGGCGCCGCGTGGACAGCATGCGTTTCTCGGGAAGCTCCGACGTGGAGCCCGCGGGCAACTTCAGTCCCTGGTGGCCCCTGAGAGCGGGCGGCGCCAACGGCAGCCTGGGGGCCGGCGAGCCGCCGGGGGAAGGGGACGAGCCGCAGGGGGATGTGCGCAACGAAGAGCTGGCCAAGCTGGAGATCGCCGTGCTGGCCGTGACTTTCGCGGTGGCGGTGCTGGGCAACATCAGCGTGCTGCTGGCGCTGCACCGCACTCCGCGCAAGACGTCCCGCATGCACCTCTTCATTCGGCACCTCAGCCTGGCCGACCTGGCCGTCGCCTTCTTTCAGGTGCTGCCGCAGCTGTGCTGGGACATCACCTACCGCTTCCGCGGCCCCGACTGGCTGTGCCGCGTGGTGAAGCACCTGCAGGTGTTCGCGATGTTCGCGTCTGCCTACATGCTGGTGGTCATGACCGCCGACCGCTACATCGCCGTGTGCCACCCGCTCAAGACCCTGCAGCAGCCGGCGCGCCGCTCGCGCCTCATGATCGCCGCCTCCTGGGTGCTGAGCTTCGTGCTGAGCACGCCGCAGTACTTCATCTTCTCCATGATCGAGGTGAACAATGTCACCAAGGCCCAGGACTGCTGGGCCACCTTCATCCAGCCCTGGGGGTCCCGCGCCTACGTGACCTGGATGACCAGCGGCATCTTCGTGGCACCCGTGGTCATCTTGGGTACCTGCTACGGCTTCATCTGCTACCACATCTGGAGCAACGTCCGCGGGAAGACCGCGTCGCGCCAGAGCAAGGGCTCCGAGGGCGCGGCCGGCGCCTTCCACAAGGGGCTGCTGCTCGCGCCCTGTGTCAGCAGCGTGAAGACCATTTCCCGCGCCAAGATCCGCACGGTGAAGATGACCTTTGTCATCGTGACGGCGTACATCGTCTGCTGGGCGCCTTTCTTCATCATCCAGATGTGGTCGGTGTGGGATGAGAATTTCAACTGGACCGGTAGGTGCTGGAACCATGGAGACCCTGGGGTTGGGGGACAGGAAGAGAGAGAGAGAAGTTCTTAAACTGGGTGCACAAGAATCCTACCTTGAGGAGAAATTGTAAAGTAAATAAATAAAGAAATAAGATTAAAAATAAGTGCAAATTCCAGGAGGGCCCACTCCCAAGTATTGTAATTCAGTATTTCTGGATTTGGGCTCAGGAATCTGCGTTTTGTAGCATACAATGCTTCTAAGCCCATAAACTCTGCCACGTATCTGCAAACCAGCATAATGAGTTTTTGCCAAACTTCTGACTGATGTGTTAATAACTTGCCTTCAAGTCTGTTGGATTCAAGGAAATATTTTTACCACCACCACTTCCTTTCTGTGGGGTGTGAAAGGACAATCGCTACAAGAGCAAGGGCAAAACACAGGCTTTGCTGTAGAAAGCTGTCAAGACTGTTTAACAAGTCAAGAATTCTTATTAGACATGTGGCTCAGGTTCCCTTTTCCTGAATAGTCTTCCTTTTTTGTCCAACAGTCACTACTTGAACATTTTTTTCTGGTATTTTAATGCAGGGTTAGTGATGAACTGAATTTGTTGGATGAGTTCTGCAGCAGCACTAACCTGACAGCACAGCCACTCCTGTCTCCACAGGACTCTTGCATAGTTTGCCTAGTGTTGTTTACCTACTAGACTCTCTGAGTTTAATCCCTTCACACACTAGAAAAATTGACCCCCCCAAGGGATTTATTCCTTTTTCCTCCCAAAAGCACCTTATTTCATTTTTTCATCTTGAACAATTTTTTTATTTAGTAGAAAATAAAAAACTTTCAAAACAAGGATGTTGAGGAATGTTTCTGATAACTTTTGTTGAAAAACAGGTATCTGGGAGGAGCTGTCCCCCTTGGGTCTTTTGGAATTGAACTAGAGAGTACACAGTATATATCAAAAAGTTTGCAGATAAATGAAATTAAAAGATAAGTTTGTTTTGGTGCAAAAAATGGAAATAATTACATGGCTTCTCATAACACTCATTTTCCATGAACTTTTTGAAGAACCTCTCATGTTGATAGCTTTGGGAGCTGTGTTTCCAAATAAAAATTTGAGTGTGAATTTAATATAATAAATAAGTATTCTTGTAGGTTATAATACTAGTGATCATGAAAAATACAGTATAAACTCAATTTTTGCTGTACTATGTGTTTGTCAAATTTGTGAAGCCTCGAATGTTGTCAACAACAAAAAAATAATTCAGTACAATCATTGTCTTATTGGAAGATAGGCAAAATTACTAAAAAAAATTCTTTACTTGTTCATAAATATGTTGATGGCCTTCATTCTTATTTAATGTGGTCTTAGCTGTGGATCATAATCATAACAACACTTTTAATAGCACAAAGTATGATTAAATAATCCTGTAAATCATTCTGGCATAACAAGAGTGAGAAGACCTAAGTTCATATTTACTAATTAAGGGAAAATTATCATTTGCTGATTATTCTTATTTTTACAAAGGTATATTATTAGTGTAATAACACAACTGTGAAAGGTTGAAATATCTATGTAATTAATATCAAATATTTCAGAATACTCTTAGAATTTCTGACATCAGCTGTACATCTAAATATACTTTTATTGTCTAAAACCAAAAGTAGTTTTCTTTTAAAATAAAACCAAATTTCTAATTATATAAGGAAAAACCATCCAAGTATGTCTTCCAGGCATCTCCTTGAACTACATGTTTCGTGAGTTTTCATATTCAGAGGCTATGTTCAATATTTGCAACTTTACCATTAAATATGGTCAAAATGCCTGCTTTTGCCAGAGTAACTAAGATGAATACAGTTTTGTGTGGCCATAGAAATGTCACTGAAATTTCAGCTTTCTGTAAATGTTGTGTTCACTCTAGTGCAATGCAAAAGAAATGGAATGTTTTAAATGAATGATTTAATTGTCTTAATCTCTTGAAATTCTCACTCATTCCATTTAAATATTTTAATATGATTTTAAAACACTGGAGCTATTTTTAAGGCATCTTGATGACAAAAATATTCCACAAGCAACAAATTTCCAAACACTACCCATTTTCCTGACTGTTAAATGAACTAGTTCATTTTCTATGCTAATCCAAAACTTTTTTCTTCTTTAATTAGTTAGTAGAAAAATTAATTTATCCAATACCTAATTACTTGCATTTGGCTGTTTACATAATCTTCCTTTGTATTTTTCATACAGATTCAGAAAACCCTTCCATCACCATCACTGCTCTGCTGGCTTCACTGAACAGCTGCTGCAATCCCTGGATATACATGTTTTTCAGTGGCCATCTCCTGCAGGACTGTCTCCAAAGCTTCCTGTGCTGCCAAAATATAAAGCAAAACTTCAACAAAGAAGAAACTGACAGCATGAGCAGAAGACAAACTTCTTACTCTAACAACCGAAGCCCTACCAACAGTACGGGTACGTGGAAGGACTCACCGAAGTCGTCCAAGTCCATCAAAGTCCTTCCTGCTTCCACCTGAGCCCCAAGTTCATGAAGTTTCACTCTTGCAATTGACTTCTTGGCACCTTTCTTGCTAGTAAATCATGAGAACAAATGAACTTTTATGAGATGAGCATAAATCAATTCATTGGGTAAAAGACTGTGTTTCTAGTTGCATACTCTATGTTGCTATGACTAAAAACTATGAATTCTTTTATACATGAATGTTAATGAAACTCATTGCAATAAAATGTGCAGGACTAATTCCCAGCAGCTTAACAGACATTATATATTTCTAAAGGAAACATCATAGCCATTCTGAATTTGTATTCTGTTGTTGATTTATTTTGTTATTTTACTTCGTAGATAAGTAAGGCTTGATTGATTTAAAATTCATAGAATGTAGGGGCACTGATGAACAAATGACTTAATCATCAGAGACTTCACAGCAACTCTCCTTCCATCTATTAAAATCACTTTATGCATCGTAATGTGCAGTTCCAAATGGTGGCTTGGGGAGAAGATGGTGCCTTGCAGAGGTGTGAGTGCCTGGGACATACTCAGCATGAGGTGACCGATTCACAAGGAAAAGGGGAAAGTTGTATAAGAACCTACAAATCACCCTGAATTTCAAGAGAGTAGGTTTAAGGTTGGCAGTGCCTTCATTAAGCTTCCTCATGCTTCACTGACTCTGAAAAATGTGATTTTCAAGATGTTGAAGGTTACCAAACACATTGCTTGCTGGATGGTTATACCTTTTTTCTTCCACTGCAAGGTTGTTTTAAAGGTAGATTTCTGTGACGAATGTCAGGTTTTATTAGGACAGTAGAAAAGCCTGGCATAAGACACTCTGTAGACTTTCCCTTGAACATTGGAGAGACATTTGGATCAGTATTATAAGGGATCTTTTGCTATGCTGGACGTTGACATGATCATTAACAGTCATTATCTGAGGAGTCCGCATTCATAGAAGAGTCTCCCAGTCACCCAAGTTACAAAATGTCCTCGCATTTTCAATGAGAAATGGCTTAGGTGGCCCTCCAAACTCCTAATAATCCGACAGCCTCCTAGTAGAGAAGAGGCGGGGCTGGGGGTTGTGGGAGGGCGTGCCATGGAGAGAGCCTAGCACCTGGCTTCCCTCATTAACAAATGTGTGATTTTAGGCCAAGATTCAAGAGGACAGAAGCCTCTGCTTCCTAGCCTGTTTGACAGAGTTGCTGACACTTTGCTCACAGGGAGCTTCTTGCACACTAACGTGCTGTGTATATGCTAGCAGTCGGTTTTATTACAGTCTTGGGATCTTCAGAGCTGCATGGCTTGTTTCCTGTTTACTTTTCATTAGCCAGAATTGGCGGGGTTCGAGTCTGGGCTATAAGGTCCTAAAATTTAAATATAGATCTGCTGATTCATTGGAAAGCATTGCTTCCCATCACTAGGCCTGACTTCTGCTGCCTGACTGGAGTTTTCCAATTTGATAGAGATACTGTTTGCTTTCCTTTGAAAGCAGGTAGCATTCACATGCATCAGTTTCTTTTAATTCTGAACAGAGGGTTATTACAACTCTGCTTGGCTATTGTTGTTCTATTTTTCACTAATGAAACTAAGAGGCCTTTTTTTTAACCCTTAGGTATGTTGTCTGACTCCTTCTTCATGCAAAGATTTAAGAATACATCATAATTATTTTTGCAATCCTTAGGGGAATAATAGTTGCTTACAATAGTATTACTGGGCTTCCTTTTTGGCTTTGTAGATAAGAGACCGAGGACCTGATGGCACTGTGATAACCTGAAACCATCAACTTCACTCCTCTTCATTCCCAGCATTTCCAAACTCTCAGCCCTGAGCCGCCCCAGATGGATAGGCCTAAAAAATATTTCCAAGCGTCCTGTAGAGATTAGACCCTCAGGTTTCAGAATTTGTTCTAAAAATAACAAAAATGTCCCTTGAAGGGCAGCCTAATATAAGCCATGAGCTAAATTAGTCCCTCCTTCACTATTTGAGTTAGAGCGCATCTTAGTAACCCTGCCCTCTATAAGACTGCCAGCGCTTTTGACAACTTCCCTTTGGTAGTTGAAAAACTAAACCTTTTGGAACTGCAGCGGGGATGAGCCATCTAAATACAAAGACGAGTTATAAATCCATTTCCAAAGTAACAATCTCATTGCCTTTCTATAGACTCTGTTTTCAAAAGGTTGGCAGATACCCATAGGAAATCAGATTCCATTTGATTCTTGTTTCTGGGAGCTTCTCTCAAACACAGTGCATATCGCCCTATCCAGGTAACTTTTCTTTTAAATGCCTCAAGAGATGAAATAATAGAACATAGGCAGGAGGGACAAAATAACATCTGGATGTTAGTTTTGCACTAGGCAAATACAAGTATGGGCTTATTCTCCATGGTTTAGGCTAGGAAAATTAATCTCTTCAGCGCTAAACTTTCTTAATGTTGTATACTTGGAAATGGCATTCATATATCCCCAAAAAATATTACTCCAAGTTGAAAGAGTCCTGATTGTCCATTTCAAAAGAAAGGAAACTATAGGTAATAAAGAGGAAATGCTCTGGAAGGGAAGTTTTCCTTTTCTTCACCAAAGAGAAGATCCAAGGTGTTATGCCAAATGACAGCTTAAAGTCAAAAAGAAATGTGTTGCAGCACTTTTTTTAAATTTATAGGTATTATGTGGAAAATACTGCAAGTATGTAATACTAATGTATCTATGTGGTTGTCAGGAATGTGACTGATATAAAAAATCCAGCAGTAGGGATAAACTGATTTATAGAGCAGCTCATAAATATTAATTGGCAATGAAAATGAAACATTTGAATTACATATTAAGTGCTTACTGAGTTAATTCTAGGGAATGTATTTTTAAAGTGTAAAACTACTTGGCATTTTATTATTTGGGATGTAACTGCAAAGGAATTTAGTGAATTTTGGTGGTCCATTATACATTTGTCTGATATACAGAATTACAATTATCATCAAAGAAGTTTTATACTGTAATTGAGAGAAGGGTGTACTTTTAGAGAAAAAAATAGTAGTATCAGTGCTGTGCTTATTAATACCAAGCTTGTTACCATTCCCAGAATGGACAGTCATTGAGGATTAAGAAATACAACTCTCACTTGTTGCTACACAAGTAAAGTAACCCAATTAGGTTGATGTTTAATGCTTTCAGACTGTAAAGTTCATATTTTCATAATTTATCTGGACACTCGGAGCTTTACATTATGTCCTCAGAATTATCTAAAACATAATTAGATGCTGTGTAGGGGGTTATGGAGCCTGATCCCTCACCCCAGATAGCAGATAGCTCCTGTCTCTGGAGGAGGTAATGGCTTTGCTTGCAGTAAGTCTGGGGTGGGCTATTTAGGATGCTAGTTCTGGACCTGCCAAAGCAGTCGGTGCCTCTCTGCCACATTCCCACCCTTCATGGGCCCTTGGAGTACTATTCAGTGCTGCTGGCCACACTTGGAATCATGAGGAACACAGGACAACAAAGATTAGCAAGTGGTTCTTGCTTATAATTTGATCTCAGTCAATCTGAGCCAAAATTCAAGGGCTATTCAGAAGAAAAATTATTTCTTTGAATCTCCAAGGAAGTGAAATGGATTGAGTCACACGAATTGTGTGATTTCATTTTACACATAGACAGCTTAAGAATATTGTGTTAACAGATTTTGTCTACAACAAGTTTTTGTGAGTGAACATATACATGTGAGCTACGGTATGTCAGAATAAAAACAATGGTAATTATGGCTAAAAATTCAATGTCATTTCTCTTTATATAGTTTTTATATATACTCATCCTTTTTATTGATTTATGTTCTAAATAAAAACTAAAAAAGCTATAAGATGAATTAGATATATTTATGTTCCTGGGTCAAATGAACAAATTCAAATAAAGAAATATGAGAATAAATCTAATAGTAAAATCAGAACAATTGTTATTAATGTAAGATAATTAGCATTTCCACACACAGAGGTAGCTGTCTTTATACCACAGGATTTAAGATTTAAATATATCCTATGATGTTTTAGCTCATTATTGTAACAAAACACTAAGAGTTAAGGTTATATATTTAGTATTCCATTTTTGGAACTATTTTTCAAATGTTCTATAACTCTTAGCTTACTATGCTACATAGCAGAAATATAGTATGTTTTTCCTGAGCTAATTATATGATTCCAGTTATGAATGGATATTGAAACGTTTTGTGATTGTATCTGATAATTGGTTGCTTACAGACAAAAACGGATGGTGGTAATATATTGAAATAATTGCTGTATTTATTCCTTAATTCTCTTGTGTGTAGCTTAATTCCATAAATAAAAACAAATTTCATATATATTTGAATGAATTCTTTTCCAAATTACTTAAACAATGAAATGGGCTTTGATTTAATTATAATGATTTTGAAAAAGTAAACATGTTTTACAGTTGGTGGCTACTGATAGGCTTATTTTTAGGCACAAAGATATTTATGCTTATACTGCTTTGGCTATAGCAAAAACAAGTGATACTTTGTACTCCCTTTTCAATAAATTGCTATCAAGAAAATAAATCAATTTTGTTGCAGTCTATCTTAAGACAACCAAAATAATTGGAGTTTGCTAAGGTCATGTGCATTACCAAGCCCTAAAAAAATTCATCCATGCTAATGTATTTCTAGAAATTGGCGAGACTACTATACAGAAGAATTACAATTTGTATTTCATGGACCAATTGTATAATTCTATTTTTAAATGGATATTGACATTTTGTAATCATATCTAATATTTGCCCAAATATAGAAAAAAATGAATGTGGTAAAACATTGAAATAACTAAAAGATTAAGAACATTCTCATTTTACAATGTTTAAAGTTATAATTTTATATGTGTGGGATAATCCTATTAATTTTCAACTAACATTATCTATTATTTTATAAGTAGAACCATAGCATCTTACATTGAAAGCTTATTTTGAGTTTGGCTTAAATTCTAGAAGCAATGTATGCCCAGGAAGGAAGGAAAGGAATTTGAAGTCAGTATTTTTTTTAACTTTTATTTAATAAATATAAATTTCCAAAGTACAGCTTATGGATTACAATGGTTCCCCCCCATAACTTCATTCCCACCACAACCCTCACATCTTCTGCTCCCTCTCCCCTTACATTCACATCAAGATTCATTTTCAATTACCTTTATATACAGAAGATCAATTTAGCATATATTAAGTAAAGATTTCAACAGTTTGCTCCCACACAGAAACATAAAGTGAAAAATACTGTTTGAGTACTAGTTATAGCATTAAATCACAATGTACAGCACATTAAGGACAGAGATCCTACATGGGGAGTAAGTGCACAGTGACTCCTGCTGTTGATTTAACAACTGACACTCTTGTTTATGGCGTAGTAATCACCCTAGGCTCTTGTCATGAGTTGCCAAGGCTATGGAAGCCTTTTGAGTTCAATCTTATTTAGACAAGGTCGTAGTCAAAGTGGAAGTTCTCTCCTCCCTTCAGAGAAAGGTACCTCCTTCTTTGACTCTGGGATCTTACTCACAGAGATCTTTCATTTAGGTCTTTTTTATTTATTTATTTTTTATTTTTTTTGCCAGAGTGTCTTGGCTTTCCATGCCTAAAATACTCTCGTGGGCTTTTCAGCCAGATCCGAATGCCTTAAGGGCTGATTCTGAGGCCAGAGTGCTATTTAGGACATCTGCCATTCTATGAGTCTGCTGTGTATCTCGCTTCCCATGTTGGATCGTTCTCTCCTTTTTAATTCTATCATTTAGTATTCGCAGACACTAGTCATATTTATGTGATCCCTTTGACTCTTAGTCCTATCATTATGATCAATTGTGAACTGAAATTGATCACTTTGACTAGTGAGATGGCATTGGTACATGCCACCTTGATGGGATTGAATTGGAATCCCCTGGTATGTTTCTAACTCTACCGTTTGGGGCAAGTCTGATAGAGCATGTCCCAAACTGTACATCTACTCCCTCTCTTATTCCCACTCTTATATTTAACAGGGATCACTTTTCAGTTAAATTTAAACACCTAAGAATAATTGTGTGTTAATTAAAGAGTTCAACCAATAGTATTTACTAGAACAAAAAAAATACTAAAAGGGATAAAGTATTAAGTTGTTCATTGACAGTCAGGACAAGGGCTGAAGTCAGTATTTTAAAATAATACTGTTATTTGAAAAACCAACTATAAATGGTTAAGAATAAATAGAATTTCTTCCAAAGTATATTTTTACAGTTTTAAGGATCAAGTTAAACTAAAATAATAGTTCCACTGTAAACCAGAAGAAACCTGTAAAGAACTGTTAATATACAGTTGTTCACTCATTCTTATACACTTCTTAATTGTTAGAGTTATGTATTTCTTCTTTCCTGCTCCCCAAATTTTTAAACATCTTCACTGTAACACATACCAAGATAGTTTATAATGCTTACTTATTGTTCTATTTTCTCCAAGAAAAGCATGTTATCTTAAAATAGGAAGTTTGCATTTTTCATCTTTTCAATCTTACTGTCATATAAAAGATGGTCAGTAATTGAATTAATGTAAATATTATATATCTAGTAATCCCTATATGGTGACATGAGACTGTGAATGTTTTGAAGAAGCTTTAATTACAAGATACAGCACTGTTTAGTCCATAAAGTGAAACAAGAAATAATTAGGAGAACCACAGATTTTCCACCACCTATAGCTGAATGATTTTAGGGAAGTCACTTCAATGGATTTGGATGCCTAAGTATAATTTTGGTTGAAAAAAATGGGTTTATAGATTCAAGCCTAAAGTAACATAGTACTATTAGAAAGGCTTTGTCATCAGCAATAGCGAGCACTCTTTCTCCTTCCCCTCTTTTTTTTTTTTTTTTTTTTTTGACAGGCAGAGTAGACAGTGAGAGAGAGAGAGACAGACAGAAAGGTCTTCCTTTTCCGTTGGTTCACCCCTCAATGGCCGCTGCGGCCAGCACACCACGCTGATCTGAAGCCAGGAGCCAGGTGCTTCTCCTGGTCTCCCATGCGGGTGCAGGGGCCCAAGCACTTGGGCCATCCTCCACTGCACTCCGGGGCCACAGCAGAGAGCTGGTCTGGAAGAGGAGCAACCGGGACAGACTACGGCACCCTGAGCAGGACTAGAACCCCGGGATGCCAGCGCTGCAGGTGGAAGATTAACCTATTGAGCCATGGTGCCAACCTCCTTCCCGTCTTCTTACGTATTCATGTAGCCCCCAATTAACAGCTTCCATTTTCTGGATGTGACCTAACTGTTAAGCAATAGCACAAAGTTGTTGCAAGAGAGAGGGCTCTTCCACAATCTGAATGAGAGTAAAGCATCTTCCTCCTTGGGTCCTGTGGCTTGCCAGTGAGAAATCAAGGGCCCGATTTACATCCTAAAACATGCAAGAAATGTTTGTACCTGGCAGCTCTTGAAAGGAAAAGAATGATGGCCTGCGCCGTGGCTCACTAGGCTAATCCTCCATCTTGCGGCACCGGCACACCAGGTTCTAGTCCTGGTAGGGGCGCCGGATTCTGTGCTTGGGCCCTGCACCCCATGGGAGACCAGGATAAGTACCTGGCTCCTGCCATCGGATGGATCAGCGCGGTGAGCCGGCCGCAGCGTGCTGGCCGTGGCGGTCATTGGAGGGTGAACCAACGGCAAAGGAAGACCTTTCTCTCTGTCTCTCTCTCACTGTCCACTCTGCCTGTTATCAAAAAAAAAAAAAAAAAAAAAAGAAAAGAAAAGAAAAAAAGAAAGAAAGGAAAAGAATGGTATAAACAGTGAGAACCTTTGGAAAATCTAAAGAATACAATCTGTGGTCAGTGACAGCAAAAAGCTTAGATAAGATTATCTAGTTAATTTTTCACAAGAAGCAAAACACAAATATGAACATTTTGGGATCAATCCAACTGATAATTCATCTTCAGTTGAATTATCTCACCCAAAACAGTGTAGGTAAATAGCTAAACTGCATGGGATGAAAACAGGGACTCTAAGGACAAAGACAGAACAGGAAAATCTATCATTTGAAAGATTTTGTAAATATGTGTAAATGTCTCTCACTGCTTTCTGTTTGTGTGGTTTTTTTTGTTTGTTTGTTTTTTTGACAGGCAGAGTAGACAGTGAGAGAGAGAGAGACAGAGAGAAAGGTCTTCCTTTTGCCTTTGGTTCACCCTCCACTGGCCACTGTGGCCGGCGCGCTGCGGCTGGTGCAACGCGCTGATCCGAAGACAGGCGCCAGGTGCTTCTGGTCTCCCATGGGGTGCAGGGCCCAAGCACTTGGGCCATCCTCCACTGTACTCCCGGGCCACAGCAGAGAGCTGGACTGGAAGTGGGGCAACCGGGACAGAATCCGGCGCCCCGACCGGGACTAGCACCCGGTGTGCCGGCGCTGCAGGTGGAGGATTAGCCTATTGAGCCGCGGCGCTGGCCTGATTTCTGTTTTAAGTTACAATTTATCTAATGGAGAATTCTGGGAGAACTTTAATAATATGGTTCCAGTTTAAATGAATATTAAAAATGTCCTCCAGGTAGTTTTTAAGTGATGTGTCTGCCTAAAGGAAGCTGGTAATTTCCTAAGCAAATACTTAAGGTGTTCAATAAAGAAAGAGTGGTTCTCCAGGAAAAGAAAGGCTACAGTCAATTACACACCAAGTGTGGGAATGATTTTGGTGTTGAACATGACCTAAGGATGCTGAAGTCCATTTATTACAAAACCATTCAATGCCTTCTCTGCCTCTGGCCCAGAAATATACACTATGCTTTCCAAAGCCCTTTTCTTTTAATTGATATTCCAGGAGATAAGAAATTTCAGAATTTTTGGAAAATAAAATGCTAATTTACATCTGCATTAGGATTAGGAACTACTAAAGTTAACCTTTATAATTTCACACCTTTTTGATGAAAAATTATTTGTTCTGTAGGCAATAGAGGTGTGCAACCAGCTTGGTAGTTCTATTGATAAGTGAGAAATTAAAGGACACTTGTAATTTAGTTTTAAGAATTGCAATGTTTTTTTCCTGAATACTTAAAGCTTAATTGGCAATTTTTTCCCCTCCTTAATTGAAATACAGAAACCATGCCTACGGACACCTCTTCAAGAAGTGAGAAGAGGTGGCTTCTCATTAGCTGCAACTTCCTGAACCTTGGAAAATTCCATTCTTCTAGCTTTCCCGTTTGTTCCCGTGTGGGGCTGAGCTGCAGGCAGGGACAGGAGCTAAATAAGTCTGTAAGGTAGAATATTTGGTTTCTCCATCTGAAATTCCTTTCCCTCTCGCAGGCACTGTTATCAGACATAGATAAGTCAGCATGTTGGGCTGACCCATTTGGCCCTC